CTTTTCAAACTTTGCACACTTGTTCACCATCATTACCCCAACCTGTAAACAGGAGGAGGTAACTGTATCAAGCATTTTGACAGAATTATGCCCCTTTTTCGACTTAGAATTTACGTTAAAGTTTTTGTAATAGTTCAAATATTTTCAAAGTCCATTGACATATGGCTTTGAAACTTTGCACACTTGTTCACCATCATGACCCCAACCTGTAAACAGGAGGAGGTAACTGTATCAAGCATTTTGACAGAATTATGCCCCTTTTTCGACTTAGAATTTACGTTAAAGTTTTTGTAATAGTTCAAATATTTTCAAAGTCCATTGACATATGCTTTTGAAACTTTGCACACTTGTTCACCATCATTACCCCAACCTGTAAACAGGAGGAGGTAACTGTATCAAGCATTTTGACAGAATTATGCCCCTTTTTCGACTTAGAATTTACGTTAAAGTTTTTGTAATAGTTCAAATATTTTCAAAGTCCATTGACATATGCTTTTGAAACTTTGCACACTTGTTCACCATCATTACCCCAACCTGTAAACAGGAGGAGGTAACTGTATCAAGCATTTTTTTTACAATCAAGCACTTAGAATAGTCGAGCGTTGCTGTCCTACCGACAGCTCTTGTTAGAAACACCTGACCTGGCTAATTAAAATATGCCAATCACAATTTTCACTATCAGCACTGGTAATTACTGCCGATTAAGGCCGTGTCTACACCTATTCAAGTTTCTTACATGCCACATTTAGGTAAGCTAAATAAATGGCCCTTTCAACATTTGTTCAGGCACAATGTTTACTGAAATGTCTCATTAAGATAGCCCAGGATTTATACCTTTGTCTTTGCAAGACTATCATGTTTCTGTAAAATATGTGAAATAAAGCGGGAAAATGATGCAATTAGCTAAAACAGAATGGAGTCAATGAAATGCATTCATTCTTTTTTAAAATTGAAAAAATGTGACAAAAATTTATTTTGATGCAAATTCTTTATTTGATGAAAGTTATTCACTAAATGAACAAGATCATTTTAAATCCATTTTGACTCTACTTGAAAAAGAGCTCTTTTTTATTTTTTTACAATGTATTTATTTATTTATTTTTTTTTTGCTCTTCTGTGTATCAGCGTATTGGTTTGTTCCTTTGACCAAGACATTGTAATCATTTACTGAAATTCAAAGAATCAACAACAAAAAGTCAGAAAATAATAAAAATAACAGCACTATCAAACCTTCGGGCACATGTTTTGTGTCAAACCGGTGTTATCAGTGTCTTGACAGCCAAAAACTTGTAGAAAAATAGAACATGTTCCAACTTTCTTGCAAGGAATTATCTTCTTGGATGTCACATAATTTCTCTTTAAAACTCTTTCAAGTAGGGTGTCTACACTATCCAATACAAGAGAATATGATACTTGCATTCAAGACTTGGATAGGTGTAGACGGGCTCTAAGAGCCGATTTGCAATAACAACAAAATCACACCTTCGGGCACATGTTTTGTGTCAAACCGGTCTTATCAGTGTCTTGACAGCCAAAAACTTATAGAAAAATAGAACCTGTTCTAATTTTCTTGCTAGAAATTATCTTCATGGATGTCACATAATTTCTCGTTAAAAACCATTCAAGTAGGGTGTTTACATTATCCAATACAAGAGAATAATTATGATACTTGCATTCAAGACTTGGAGGCCTAATATTCTCTGTACAAAAGATTTACAACTTGATTAATTGCCAGGTATTTATCTTATTTTCTATTACCATTCTATAAAATTCTAGCTTAATCTTTCACAACATTGAACATCATAAAAAACTTTGTACCATTTCAAGTATGCATTTTAAATAATGGATTAATTTGAGCCGCGTCACGACAAAACCAACATCATGCATTTGCGATCAGTATAGATCCAGACCAGTCTGCGCGTCCGCGCAGTCTCTGGACGCCAGTCTGATCATGATCCATGCTGTTCGCTTACAAACTATTACAAATGTAGAAACTGATAGCGAACAGCATGGATCCTGATCAGACTGCGCGGATGCGCAGGCTGGTCTGGACCCATGCTGGTCGCAAACGCATTACGTTGTTTTTTCGTGACGCGGCTCATTTGTTATTTCCAGGGCCTTTCAGTCTAATAAAAAATCGGCTTCTTTCCAACATTATTGCCTATGTTATAATTATGTTTATACATTTTAAAAGTATCTTGGCCGCTACTTTACTACTGGTGTGACAAGAGGTTGACGTTGCTATGAACCGTATTTCAATATACATGTATTTATATCACTTATTTATACTTTTTAGATACATTATCTTGAAATTATTATATGCGTTCCTCACGCCCTAAGCCATAAAACAGGTCAAATTGCTATTCAATATTTCCTAATATTTAATATTTATGAAAATATTTTCTAGGAAATTTATGGCTATATAGTGTTATACATGTGCCGTGAAATAAAAAAAAATTCAGTCTTAATTTCATTCATGCTATATATTTCATATATGTTCATTTACTTGCGTGCGTATGTGCGCGCGCGTGTGTGTTTTCAGAGAAATCAAAAGCTCTTCAAATTCCTAAACTAAACTATATTTTTCTCCTTTCATGTATGTTTTTGACTTCCCCCCCCCCCCATTATGGAAACAAAATTAAAATTATTACTTTTTTAATTGTACATTTTTAGTTAGTCTGTTACGTGTTATATCATTGTTCTTGATATTCTTTAATGCTGTAAATTGTCATTATATAAAGAAAGATAAAAGCCTGCATTATTCATAGTAGAAAGTAATGTCCTTGTTCGCAGGCTTTTCAAACTTTTCAGTATGTGATTCAGCCTAAACACAAGATTTTAGATATTTACTGGAAATAGCGAGCATCCGCAAGTTACAAGCATTATACAAAGGGTCACTTCACGTTCATCATGTATAATATATAACTACATTAAATTTTCTGAAATAAATTTTCTAAAATGATTACCTCAAGTTTTTTTTTGTAATCTCCTTTATACATTTAATTTCATAATAGATACATGTGGATACTGAAAAAAAAATATTGCTTTGACAAAAAATGTTTCAAAGATCATTTTTACAGGTTATTTTAGGAATTAAAGACACGCGGGGTACATTGACCCCACTGTAGGATTTGAGATTTTTGGAGCCCATTGTAAGGTTTAAGTGGTCCTCAGATCGAAGTTTAACTTTAGCAACTGAAATCAATAAAACTTGTCATAAATAGTTTCAATCATATTCTTATTTTTAAATCTAGGCTTCCAATCTCTAAAATAAACTGTAGACCTTGTAACTGGATATGTTGAATAGTAAAAGTGCCTTAATAGATAAGATAAAATTTAATCTATAAATAGTTAACGTTAAGAAATGTTGTTTTTTTTGTTTGTTTTTTGTTGTTTTTTTTGTTGTTTTTTTTGTTGTTTTTATTTGTTTGGGTCGTCAGACCAAACAAATAATGGTAGCGAAATTTCAGAGTCTAATGTTGTTAATTGCAAATGCCGAAAGTATTCCACTTTTTTGAAGCGGTTACTTCCCTTTTGTATGTACAGTAACGCCGAAAAATTCAGGGGAGATCACTGCGTAAAGATGGTCAAAGACAGGCGCATTAATTTTTAAGCAAAGTAATTCCCGAATGGTCGAAGATTTCTAATATTGTTTTATTGTATTTTCTGATCGAAAATAAGTAAATACCAAGCGGACATTCAATCTCTGACACAGAAGTTTACGACAAACCTAACAACAAGTAGTTCTCAAAACAGCTTAAAACTAGCGATTTAAAAGAAAGAAATATTTTATTTTGTTACAAGTATCCAACAAATTACAACGCATTCAAAGTTAAACAATAGCGTTGGCTTATAGAATTGTCAATAAATGCACAATCACAAATTACGCGGATGAATATGATTTTATCAATGAAAATACTATTTTTAGCGATGTCCATTACCGAATACTACACAAACCGAGTAGTGGAATATATAGATTCTACATGTCGGACTGTTTGGGCGAGAAGATTTTCGCTAAAATATTTACTTCAATTTTAAACAACAGGTTTATCCTGAACAAAATACCTCGAAATTAATAAGGATTACAAACCCGAAATGCAATGGAAGTTCTAAATTTAGAATGACTTGATGTTAATCAGACTATGTTTAAATAACTTCTCCGTGGTACAGTGGTAACGCGCTCGCGAGTGAGAGGTCTCGAGTTCGAATCCCAGTCGAGGAAACTTTTTTTTTTTTAATTCTTTTTTAAGTGTCTTTGTTAAGAAAGTAGCCATGATATGCAAGGATAAAGTGTGGCTGTCGTAAAAAATGAACATAAATGATTTTTTGATGCATCTCTAGATATGCAGAATTCCGTATGTATCAAACTCTGGTGCCTTGCAAAATGAGTTATAATACATAAAAATAAAATAATACAGGAAAATGCATACAGATATACAGTACGATTTAGATTGCAAAGATCAGAAAATACCACAGAACTTGCAGCCCTTTGATTCTTTATAAATATACATGCTTATAGTAAGCTCCAGGATTATTTACATCTGTGTTAAACAACAGTTAAAGTCGTTACAAGCCCTAATTTAGAATAATATGGTTTTCTTCAGGCCGTTCACATATAAATTCACCGTGGCTGAAGGGTTTTCGGGCTCGCTTAGGAAGCGAGAGGTCTGGAGTTCAAATCCCAGTAAAGGAAACTCATATTTTTTCAAATTGTTAAAGTCAAATAAACATTGGATTGAATATCAGTGTTGCAATTAGTCTTATAGCCAATTTACTACAATTAAAACGCTGGAAAGCATTGGTGGCAATATACATATAATCTCACAACCTGCACCTTTCTTACATTCTGAGACCCAAACAAATTCAGCGCCTTCTGTGCTTTGATTCTTTTATGCACTGTACTGCTGTTGAAAAGTGACTTGGTCTTCACTCGGAAATTATATTGTGGCGTTAGACCTAGTTAAAGTCTCCGTATGGCACGGTACGGTACAAAGACAGAATAAAGTCGAAAACTCGTGCGTAATTAATTAAAGTGGCACAAAGGGGAAGTGGAAAAAGGGAAATTTTTACTTTTGTTTAACCAACCAAGATCAAAACTTTCGTTACTCTGAACATTTTTTCTGTTTGTATTGCTGTTTGTAATTTCCGAAAAGTATACAGGTATTTCAAATTTACGTTTTTATCGGTGAAACTATTGTTAAATTATCTTAATAGTTCGTCCACAAAACTATTCGTACAAATTCATTTAAGACGTTCTCTTCCTTTGTAAATTATTTGATATCATGATATAAATTATTTGTGTTAAACTGGATGATTAAAGTGTCCAATAACGTTTAAGTAAAATGTGAATAAAATTAGGATGACCGGAAATAGCTTTAAATTAAACATTATTAAATCATTTCTATGGACAATATGCCTCCATGACATTATGTCGAAAGATACTTTGTAGACTGTGACAATTGGTCGATTCCGACACTTGATAGAATTAGTCAACTTGTAGAATGTGATGATCTCTTTTATTTATGTCAAAAAGTGTCAAAAAGATGTAAATTTTGTCAAAAAAATAGATGAAAGAAAAAAAACAAAAAATACAGGTCAACATTTACTGGTCGGGGACCATCAACCAGACACTTTTTGAACATTTTTCTATACAGATTTCACAATTTCTAACATAGAGACCTGAAAATTTGACACAGTACAGCTAGGTTCTTCTCCTAACTAACAAACTAGTTTATTTATTTCTGCTTATATTGACACTTTTATCTGAGGCCTGTCGTCAAGGGTATAAAAATTACCTAAATTGTTCACACTACAGTACCATGTGTCCGGACGGATATGTACACGACATGATTTGATTTAGATAAAAGCTTAGATGTTTTAATTTTTTTTAACATGATATGCAATGTATCATTTGCTGAAGTTTTGGATATTCTTTTGCTTATTCTGCAAATGATTATAGCTGGTATATGAGGTCAGGTATTGCACTCTTGATGCCCAAATTTACAGCGTAAACATTCTTGAAATAGACAATAAAATATTACCCTTTACGGAAGTTGAAATAAATTTTATTGATCATAGAAGAAACATGCATGTTGATAATAAAGTGACTGATAGATCGAAAACCACTGAACAAAGAAAAAAATTAAATTAAGCATTTTTGGGGCCATCCGGGTTTGATGGTTGTCCGGTTTTGGTGGTCTCCAACCAGTATGGTCATTCTTTATTTACTCAGCTGTTCTTGATTATGAAAAATAGTTATTCAGTGAGTTAACCGAGTTATCACCGATGTGTAATACAGTGTATCCCAACGTCATAACTCAGAATTGACGGCTCACAAAAACTTATTAATTAAAGGTGAATTTATTTTTGATATATCTATGGTTCTGATATCTTGTCATAATTCAGTGGCCGAATATCATAGAAAAAATATGTGTTCATTCTTTGTGAAAATGTAATAAAAAATGCAAAGTTACCGACTTCATTAATGCATTTATTTTGTTATGGAAATATGCCATTTGAAAGACTAAAAGTACACAGTTTGTATAGGCTAGCTTACGTGACTCACAAAAGTAACATGTCTAAATACATTTGGAGGCAGTATAGGCTAGCCACTTCCTTATATATATATATCTATAATGTCTTTTGTACAAATATTGAGATTTCTTTAAAAGTTACTTATATATTAAGCATTAAATAGAATACATTTACATTTTGATGCAAAAATATTTTTGTTGCCATCAGTTGTCTCAGAATTGTTTTCCTTTTCCAAATTTTCAGGACACATTCACGAATTCGAAAATCTAGCTAAACGCCGTTTTTCGGTACTTTCTGCACATAGCTCTGGGGAATTCACCTAATGGAGTGTAATAGTGAACTCGATGTTTTCGGCCTTTTTTTAAATTAAATTAAATATAAGAAAATAATTAAATATCATTGTAATTTGTATGAATAATTCCATACAAAAAATAAAGTAAATACACAAGTTTACGCAGAAAATAACCTTATTTATTATGGAAGATTCCACTACGTCTGTTTTAATTTTATTGATTTTCATTATAAACAATTTATTTTTTTGAAAAATTTGCAATAGATATTTAAGGAATATTGATAATTTTCAAATACATCATTTTTTTTCACCTTAAACGGTAAAATAATGATAGAAAATAGAAATATCATGTAATTGTGTTATGTACTTCATTTGGCATAATTCCCCAGACATAAATCTGTAACGTACCGGAAAACGGTGTTTAGCTAGGTTTTCGAAAAGGTCAATAGTATTTGCAGTCCATAACATTTATGTTTTAATGTACATATTAAAACAAAAATGGGTTCAAAAGCTTTTTGTTCTCAAACTTATTGCGCCAATATCTTTATTCCACATATTTCGATTTAAAATTTTCTTTCTGGTGTAATATTTGGATAATTCTTTGACTACAAATATTTTGTTGTGTTGTATCTGCTTTAACAAAAGTGTAAACCAGCCTAATGTTTACAGAATATATTTATCAATGCTGATGTGTTTTTCCTTTGAACAGAACAATGGCACAATACAGAATACATGATCCTGAAGAATTGCTGGAATGTCCGTACGACCGAGTACACATGGTTAGAGCCAAGAGATTCCAGTACCATCTAATCAAATGTAGAAAGGTAAGTTATTTATGTATGGCCTTTTATCAACCTAGTTTAGAGAAAGCTGCTGTCTTAGGTTGGGAAATTATGGGGGGTGTGTGTGTGTGTGTTTGGTTTTTCAGCATACCAACACAGTTAAGGTTATATATAAGGCATCAGAACAGGAAAGATGATCATGGGTAACCTTGGGCACTATGAACTTCAAAGCAATGCTAGTGGTCAAAACCACCTCACCTGCTGGAGCTAAGAAAATTAGAAATACAGAAAGACCCCAGTTATTGGAACACATTTAGTTGCATGGTACAATAACACAGGGATAAATAGTCACTTTAATTCCTATGCCTCAACTCTTAAAGGCAAACTGTCAGCCACAAGAGTCAAATTTAATGTTGGTTAACTATATTATTTTAATTAAAATGTTGAATTTTTGTGTTACCTTTACTTTAAGATAACAAAACTTTGGTTATTATTTATATAATATTATAGGATTTTGCTTTTTCTTGCATTTTGGTTACAGTTATCTGATGCCTTTAAATTTCAAAAGTTATGATATTTATTTTTGTCCCTCAAGAATTAATGTTAAATATGCCATTAATCTATTAGTCACATATCTTAATACTACAACATTCTTTTATTTGTTTTTTCACAGAATTATACAGGAACTGAATATGAAAAATGTCCATTTAATGCAAAGCATCAGATGCCACGGCCAGAATTCCGCCACCATCTGGCAAACTGCCCAGACAAGGCAATGGTTGAACCAGAACTCAATTATGGTAACATTATACCGGTTATTTCTTTTAGAATTAAATTGTTTATATTGTTCAAGCTCTGGCGTGGGTTCGATCCCCGGGAGATGCTTTGGTAGTTTAGCGCGGAGGAAGGTAGTCTAGTACTGGTGTAACTCTCCAGGAACGATGGTTAGGAAACTACCCGCCTATATGACTGAAATACTGTTGGAAAAGGCGTAAAATGAAACAAACAAACAAACAAACAAAATATTGTTCAAGTAACTATCGGTTCTGAATTGTCGTAATACAAAGATTTAAGGAAATGTTGTACATTTATTCTATCAGGACCCGGTTGTTCATATCATTTGTTAAAATTAACCAGTGGATATCTTAACCGATGTTTTGAACAACCGAGTCTCTAGCATATTAGCATATCTAATAGATGAGTGAAAGACAATTAATGTCAATATTTCAGCTGCTAGAAGAGAGAATGGAGATGAGAATCTGTTGAAGGGATGTACAGATGTTCCTGTCTACAATGATATAGATATTGAGTCAGGAGAAGATTGGGAAGCTGGTAATTTCTTCAGATTTCACCATTAAAGGGACTTAACTGATGTAAAAAAACAAACAAACAAAAAAAACCCATAAAATTTGAAATTCTTACATAAATCAAATGAAGCGCTTAAAATAGATAAATCTGCAACAAATAATAAGGAAATTTTCCTCAGAGTTAAAAACTCAAAATTGGATTGAAAATCAGTTTGTTTTTATGTGCGATTCTTAGCCTTATTTGAGTACAACATTATTCATTATAGGGCCATTTGTACAATAGAAAATATGATTCTGAAAAAAAAAACAGGGTAAAGGAATGATCTGAAATTTTGCACACAAGTTATTGGTCTACATCATGTGGTACACTAATCTCGGAAAAATAATGTCCAGTCATGTCAAAAAGCCTCTGTTGAGTCCCTTTAACGTGCTTGAATAGAAAGGATTTAGTCTTTGTCTATATTCCGTAATCTGCCTTTGATGGTGTTTGTTTGAATGAAAAGTTAAAGCCTTTGTCACCAATATAAGGCCAAGCCAGCCTGCTCACCCCTGCAGTCCAACAAGGCTCTGTATTATTGGCTAACTATGTGTACATTTAAATTTTCATCTCGATATCAAGGAATATGTAAATGGACAGTTCCAGAAAATGAAATACAATTCATTCATTATTAACTTCTTTTTGTAAAAACCTTTCTCATCAGATTGTAAAAAGATTATTTTTTGTTTTTGTTCAATAGAGGTGTCAGCTCCAGTGAGGGTTGGTCCACAGTATGACAACAGCTACTTTGAACGTGTTCAGTTTAAAGATTTGTCAGGGTAAGTAAGAATGTTTGATTCAATAAAGAAGAAAGTTATGAGTATATCATACAATAGCTGGGTTTAATTTATGAAATGGCCAGTATCTTTTTACACATATAAATCGAGTTTGAAACATTGCTTTGTGAAAGATAGTCTACTTATTATCAGTCTACTTATTATCTATGAAGAGTACATTTACCTTTAATGATCTATTAAGTAAAAGGTTAAAAAATAAATTATTCAACATTGAATGTTGAGACTTTTTGTTTTATATATGAATTTATAAAGCTGGGGTATCTGTACAATTTGACTGGCTGGGGTATCGGTGTAATTTGACTGGCTGGGGTATCGGTGTAATTTGACTGGCTGGGGTATCGGTGTAATTTGACTGGCTGGGGTATCGGTGTAATTTGACTGGCTGGGGTATCGGTGTAATTTGACTGGCTGGGGTATCAGTGTAATTTGACTGGCTGGGGTATCAGTGTAATTTGACTGGCTGGGGTATCGGTGTAATTTGACTGGCTGGGGTATCAGTGTAATTTGACTGGCTGGGGTATCAGTGTAATTTGACTGGCTGGGGTATCGGTGTAATTTGACTGGCTGGGGTATCGGTGTAATTTGACTGGCTGGGGTATCGGTGTAATTTGACTGGCTGGGGTATCGGTGTAATTTGACTGGCTGGGGTATCAGTGTAATTTGACAGAGTGTTAAGATATCAGACCATACGACTGTCAATTAGTTATCATACCAATTTGACTGGCTTGGGTATCACTTGTTCAACATGTTCATGTAGAGTTATTTTAAAATCCATTTAGGGGTGTCAGAATTAATGTTGACCAGATATAAACATTGTTGTATTATTTATTTTTTATGAAAATTTTCTTATGTTTTTGATAGTTGTTGCCCTGTTGACAAGCTGTAACATTGTAATATTGTTTGTATTTATTTTTATGCCCCCACAATGTGGGAGCATATAGCGTTGCACTTGTCCGTCCGTCCGCACTCACAGGAGAGTAATTATGTGGCTAGAGGGACAATAGGTAACTGTTCTTTCTCTTTGATGTCATTCATTCCGTAATGCTTTTATGTGGCTATTTTCTTTTGTGTGGCTAAAAAGAACAATAGAGAGAACAATAGAGTAGCCACATAATTACTCTCCTGTTAGAACGTCCGTCCGTCCCGAAATCTTGTGAACGCAACTCCTCTTAAACCGGATGGCAGATTTTGCTTAAACTTACAGGGATGAACAACCTTAATGTGTAGATGGTAGTAAAGGAAAGAATTTTCGCTGCGACCAAATTTAACAGAAGTATGGCCCTTTGTTGATTTTTTCACTAGATTCTATGTAGAAATTTTGTGAACGCAACTCCTCTTAAACCGGATGGCAGATTTTGCTTAAAACTTACAGGGATGAACAACCTTAAGGTGTAGATGGCAGTAAAGGAAGGAATTTTCGCTGCGACCAAATTTTACAGAATTATGGCCCTTTTTTTTTTTTTTTTTTTTTTTTTTACTATATACTATGCAGAAATTTTGTGAACGCAACTCCTCTTAAACCGGATGGCAGATTTTGCTTAAACTTCCAGGGATGAATAACCTTAATGTGTAGATGTCAGATAAGGAAGGAATTTTTGCTGCAACCAAATTTAACAGAATTATGGCCCTTTGTTGATTTTTTTACATTATATACTATGTAGAAATTTTGTGAACGCAACTCCTCTTAAACCGGATGGCAGATTTTGCTTAAACTTCCAGGGATTAACAACCTTAATGTGTAGATGGTAGTAATGGAAGGAATTTTTGCTGCGACCAAATTTAACAGAATTATGGCCCTTTGTTGATTTTTAGTTTTCAACTTGTGGCACATGTAGTCCAAAAAATATTTGACCTAGAGTCATAAGATTGACAGAACAGTGGCGTGTGGGGGCATCCGTGTCCTATGGACACATTTCTAGTTTTTATTGAATTAATTTCTCTTTTTTTTCCCCTATTGGTAAGAAACATAGTAATGATATTGCATAATTCTTTTTTTACAGATTCAACAAAAATCAAAAGGCAATAATAAATGATAACAGACTTACAACTAAACAGAAAATGTAAGCATTAATTCTCTTTATATACCGTAAAATTCCTAATAAACACCCCTCCCCTAATATGTATAATATGAACTTTAAAACCTTAACACTTTTTAATGTTATGACCAACACTTGCTAACACTAAATGTATTTACAGTGATTTTTGGATTTAGGAAAAACTGTGTTGTAATAATAGCCCCCCTTTTGGAAAATGTTTAGACCCTGGGGGCATTTAATAGGAATTTTACAGTACATGTAATATATAGCTCAATAGCATTTAGAAGTTTGCCGGATTAGGGGTGTCTTATAACATCATATTCCTTGTTTCAAGTAGTACTAAGTGTATTTCTGTTGTTTTGTGATGAAAATATGTGGAAAATTGCCATTTGTTCTGACTTGATGCTGTACATCCTGACTAAATGCCATTCATATGGCCTAAATGTCATTTGTCCTGTATAAATTCAATTTTTACTGTCTAAATGCCATTTGACCTGTTTAAATTCCATGTGTAATGTCTAAATACTATAGGATTTAATTTACTAGTGATGGACCAGTACCTCTAGACACTTAATATATAAGATCACAAGTAGGAAAATATGGCTTTTTCGGCCATTCTTACCGTTTTCATTCATAATTATATATTTTTCATTCATAATCTTATATAAATTAGCTTGATAGGGAGAGCAATGGACTGTGAATCGGGTGGTCCAGGTTCAATTCCTGGACATTGCGGGTCACTTCCATTGTGATTGATCATGAAATCCTTTTATGCTCTGGCATGTACAGAAGTTATCAATTCTTTGAGAAAGTGAGGTCAAATCTAGGAGTTTGCCAGTTGTATTTGATATATTTGTACAATGTATAATTGAAAATTAATAGAGAAATTTGCAACAGCTGTGTTAATAATATGAGCCGTGTCATGACAAAACCAACATAGTGGGTTTGCGACCAGCATGGATCCAGACCAGCCTGCGCATCCGCGCAGTCTGATCAGGATCCATGCTGTTCGCTATCAGTTTCTGTACTTGTAATAGGGTTTGTAAGCGAACAGCATGGATCCTGATCAGACTGCGCGGATGCGCAGGCTGGTCTGGATCCATGCTGGTCGCAAAAGCACTATGTTGATTTTGTCATGACACGGCTCAATTATGATTATACATGTCGAGTAGATGTCATTATCAAGTTAATAGATGTGCGATAAATATGTATTGATTTATGATTATATATATGGTAACATATTGTCTATAATCTAAATTGCCCCCTGCTTCACATCACTGTAAAAATTACTGTACATGTCTACATCAGGTCACGGGTGTTTATACTCGAGAGCAATTTCAGTTTTTTATTTTCATTAAATATTTCTTATCCATTCAAGCAGCATGCTTAGTTTAAATAAAAATTTATAAATTCTTCCAATGAATAAATTTACCATAAAACGTTCTTCTAAGTTGTAGAAATTTTAAATCTCCACCTTAGAGCAGTAACGGGTTAACTCCTTATATAATTTAATAGGAGTTAACCCGTTACTGCATAACGGTGATGAAATTAAAGATCTGTTGTAGATAAAGCCTGCTTTATGAAAGATACATGCTATCATTCCAATAACCTTTGAACATCATTTCCTACTAAAATAATTGATAGATGAACACCAAACTTTGTAGCATTCTCAGGTAGTCTTTTATCAAGTTTGCTCATATTAATTTGAATGGCCCCGTTTAAGCTAAAGCTAAAATGCCCCGAATCATGGCATTTCTTCAGAGTATTGTTTAAAGATAATTTATGCTCAAATTTAATATTAGAAAATATTGACAATGGGTAATTTCCAACCCTATAAAGCAGTTGTTTCTGGTGAGTGACTCAGGGCCATCATGACCCTCTTGTTAAAGTAAAGGTTGAAGCCATAAATGTCTGTGAAACATTTTAATCTTGTTACATAGATTATAAATCATGCATTTAATCACACAATGTTTTATGCAGGAAAAATATTAAGATTATTTATAGGACTGTAAACTCAGAATTTTAAAATCATTTACTGACAAGACAGAATGATTTACTTGCTTTTTAGCTCGACTATTCGTAGAATAATCGAGCTAATGCAGTCACCCATTTGTCGGCGTCGGCGTCCCTGTGGTTAAGTTTTTGTATGTAAGCTGGTATCTCCATAACTACTGAAGGGAATGGATTGAAACTTCACACACTTGTTCTCTGTGATTATCTTAGATGATTGGCACAAGTCCCATAACTCTGATTTGCTTTTTTACATAATTATGCCCCTTTTTCGACTTAGAAATTCTTGGTTAAGTTTTTGTATGTAAGCTGGTATCTCCATAACTACTGAAGGGAATGGATTGAAACTTCACACACTTGTTCTCTGTGATTATCTAAGATGATTGGCACAAGTCCCATAACTCTGATTTGCTTTTTTACATAATTATGCCCCTTGTTCGACTTAGAAATTCTTGGTTAAGTTTTTGTATGTAAGCTGGTATCTCCATAACTACTGAAGGGAATGGATTGAAACTTCACACACTTGTTCTCTGTGATTATCTTAGATGATTGGCACAAGTCCCATAACTCTGATTTGCTTTTTTACATAATTATGCCCCTTTTTCGACTTAGAAATTCTTGGTTAAGTTTTTGCGTGTAAGCTGATATCTCCATAACTACTGAAGGGAATGGATTGAAACTTCACACATTTGTTGTCTGCGATTATCTTAGATGATTGGCACAAGTCCCATAACTCTGATTTGCTTTTTTACATAAAAATGCCCCTTTTTTGACTTAGAAATTCTTGGTTAAGTTTTTGTATGTAAGCTGGTATCTCCATAACTACTGAAGGGAATGGATTGAAACTTCACACACTTGTTCTCTGTGATTATCTAAGATGATTGGCACAAGTCCCATAACTCCTATTTGCTTTTTTACATAATTATGCCCCTTGTTCGACTTAGAAATTCTTGGTTAAGTTTTTGCGTGTAAGCTGGTATCTCCATAACTACTGAAGGGAATGGATTGAAACTTCACACACTTGGTCTCTGTGATTATCTAAGATGATTGGCACAAGTCCCATAACTCTGATTTGCTTTTTTGCATAATTATTCCCCTTTTTTGATTCATAAATTCTTGGTTAAGTTTTTGTGTGTAAGCTGGTATCTCCATAACTACTGAAGGAATGGATTGAAACTTCACACACTTGTTCTCTGTGATTGTATTGAAACTTGAAGGGTTTGTACCTTTTCGTACAATTTTATGTATTCATATAGGTAAGCATTCAGTGTTGCATCTAGGCCGCGCGATTGCGCGATTTGCGCATTTTTTATGCAGATCGCGCACTTTATTGAAGTCAATGCGCGCCAAGTCGCGCATCTGACAATCTTTGCAACTTAATTCAGTTTATCTTCATCGTATCTTAAACGCTTCAGCCATGTTTGTTTTCACTTGTGGTTATGACTAAAATACGTACTAAATCGCGTGTAGCAGCCGACTAAGTCATCTCGCGTGTGTTTTGTAGTATTCGTCAATATTTTATTTTTTCTACTTCTGTTTTTGAGCGGAGGATAGCTGTCAAAAATGCCTGAATGTAAAATAAATGAATTCTATTCGGTATGTCATATTGTAAGGTAAATGTATGTCCCCCACATCTTTTTCAAATCCCCCACATTTTTCAATTGAGTGGGGGACAATCCCCCATAATTTTGAAATTCTAGATGCAACACTGGCATTATTATACTCAATGAAACACCCTTGTGACAAATTTTCGAATAGTCGAGCGTTACTGTCCTCCGACAGTTCTTGTTGCATGTCTTGTCTATTTCATGATTTTAATGAAATTATATGCTCAGACTCAAGATTATTTATGAAATAGAAAATAACACTGAGGACTTCATTGCATTATAGCAGCCCACAAACATTTGGCTGTGATCCATGCAATGTTTTGGGCTGACTGGGAGGTCACTATAATGCTATGAGTTCCGAAGTACTGTGTGCTATTTCTTATCTTATACCACACTTTCCTAGAATATATTGGTATAAGTTGGAAATCATATTGTTTAAATTGCAAAATTTCTTGTAAAATGTAATGAAAACTTTTTTGGCAGCCTGCTTATATTACGGGCGTTTTTGTTAAATAGTCCTAACAAGCGCTTATATGTCAGCAGTTCATGAAAAACCTGTACGAAGAACAACAATAACTTTTTATGCCCCCGCCATGTAATGGCCGGGGCATATAGTGTTACCCTGTTCCGTCATTCTGTCATTCCGTCATCATCAGTTTCCGTTCATTATCTTAAGAACGGTTGCACACATTCAACTCAAATTTGACATATGGATATGTCATGAGAAAATACAGGTCAAGTTCGAATTTGGTCATGGTTCGATGATTTTTGGCAGAGTTATGCCCCTTTTACTTTGAAAATAATATGAAATTTCAGTTTCCGTTCATTATCTCCCCAACGGTACAACACATTCAACTCAAACTTGACATATGGATATGTCATGAGAAAATACAGGTCAAGTTCGAATTTGGTCATGGTTCGATGATTTTTGGCAGAGTTATGCCCCTTTTACTTTGAAAATAATATGAAATTTTCAGTTTCCATTCATTATCTCCCCAAAGGTACAACACATTCAACTCAAACTTGACATATGGATGCGTCAAAGGATGCACAGGTCGAGTTAAATTTGGTCATGGTTCAATGATTTTTGGCAGAGTTATGCCCCTTTCACGTTGAAAGTAATATGAAATTTTCAGTTTCCATTCATTATCTCCCCAATGGTACAACACATTCAACTCAAATTTGACATATGGATATGTTTTTGGAATGCCCAGGCCAAGTTCGAATTTGGTCATGGTTCAATGATTTTTGGCAGAGTAATGCCCCTTTGACTTTGAATACAGTTTCTGTTCATTATCTACCCAACAGTGTTACATATTCAACTTAAATTTGACATATGGATATGTCAAAGGAATGGGCAGGTCAAGTTGGAATTTGGTCATGGTTTGATGATTTTTTGGCAGAGTTATGTCCCTTTCACTTTGAAAATAATATAGATACATCTTAGGAATAAGCAGTTAAAGTTTGAATTTGGTCGTGGTTCAATGATTTTAGACAAACTTATCTTTCCTGAATGTTGGAAAAATTTTGAACTTTCAGTTTCAGCACTCATACTTTTAGCCATTATTTTGGCTACAAATATGCAATATTCTATTTTTAAAAGGTTAAGACTGAATAATGTCAGTGCCTTGAATATTGTATGAAATGGTTTGTGTTAACATTGAAAAGTTTTAAGGGCTTTGAACTTAAATGAAAAAAATAATTAATGCACCATCTGAAATTTTGGCTGCATGCGGGGGCATCCGTGGCATGATGACACATTTCTAGTTTTAAGTAGGAAGAGGAAGTTGTAAATGTATTTGGTATACAACTTGCTCATTCATGCAGACTCTACTTGTTGCAGTCGGCTGTATATGTTTAGGATTTTGATGAAAAGAATACCACTGAACAGTCCCTTAATTGAAATCATAACATGTTAATTTCAAAATAGTTGGAAATGAAAAGAATTTTGTTCCCACTGGTCAATTACCATAAAAAAAATAGTGTACTACCTGTTGAAAATACTGAAATCACTTATTTGTACAATAGATCACTATTAAAAAATTGGGTATATGTTATGCAGTTAAAATTGATATATTTTTTTTCTGTTAACAGGGAGGAGCTAAATAATGAGATACCCTATCGTAACACAGGACATAGCGCTGAGGAGGAGAATCTCCGCCTGCCAAAGACAACCTCAAAGGCTGCGATGACACGCAAGCCTCAGGTGCCACAGCCAGAGTCAAGCGTATTTGCCTACAGCATAAGGCAGAGTCAGGGGCGTGGCCGGGGTATGGCTTCATCCAATCCTGTAACTAATGGACATGCACCTGCAGGAAATGGTAAGTAAAAGGTTTAAACATATATAATTTTGTAGTTTTTATTATGAAATTAATTTGTTGTTTGTATATTGTTATCCTAGTTTTATACTAAAATGTTGTTTGGTTTTTGGTTGTATACAATGAAATACTTCAATAATTAAACAGAAAACTTGTTTTAATGAAAGCAGATACATGTCTTAACTTTTCATGTAATTAATTTTTGTTGTGCGTAAAGGTTCTGAGGGATCACCCTTTTTTCCAGATTATTAAATTGGTCTTAATATTGCAGTGAAGACATGTTTTTACTTTACTTGTAATTATCCCCCGCCAATAGATCGGGGGATATTGTTTTGGCGTTGTCCGTCCGTCCGTCTTTCCGTCCGTCCGAATTTCGTTTCCGGATTAGTTCTCTGCAACTACTGGCTGGAATTCAACGAAACTTTATGGGAATCTTCAATACCAAGAGGAGATTCGCATATCCTCGGCTTGTTCCGGTCCGACACTTAAACTCAGAATTATGGCCCTTGATTAGTTATGCATTATGCATATAAAGTAAAAATCGTTTCCGCGCTACTTCTCTGCAACTACTGGCTGGAATTCAACCAAACTTTATGGGAACCTTCAATACCAAGAGAAGATGCGCATATCATTGCCTTGTTTGGGTCAGACATTTGAACTCAGAGTTATGGCCCTTGATAAGTAATGCAGTATACAACCAGAGCAATAATTGTTTCCGTGCTACTTCTCCGTAACTACTGGCTGGAATTCAAAGAAACTTTATGGGATACGAAGAGGAGATGTGCATATAGTCGCCTTGTTCCGGTCAGACACTTTAACTCAGATTTATGGCCCTTGATTAGTTATGCAGTATGCATACATCTCATTGGCATTTCCAGATATTACTATTTAACACAGAGTTATGGCTCTGTTATTGCCCTGAATATTTATCAAGTTCAAAGAATGTTACTGTTTATGCCATGATAAATATATAAATAAAGCCTTATGTCTTCAGTTGTTGTGTTAGTAATAACCAGTACTCGGCGGGGGATATAAATTCAACGAATTTGCTTGTTTGTTAATTGTTTTTGTTTTTTTTTGTTTTTTTTCTCAAAATCAAGTTAGGTATGAATCTATGAAATTTTAAACATCAGGTAGATTTACAAGTAACAGTTTACAGACATTTATTGGTGAGTAGCAAGGTATTTGTAGATAAATAGGGAAATACATTTTCATAAAGATTCTAATTTAACACTTGCATTGCAATCATTGATACATGTTTATTGCCTTCACAGACACTTTTGCACCAACGATGCCATATGGGAGGGGGATGAGCATGGGGAATCTGCCAGTGGGAGGAGCTGTTGGCCGTGGGCGGGGCATGGTGACTGGTGCAGTAGGCCGTGGAAATCTAGCCCCTCCTCCAGGTTTTTGTGTCCCAAAAGTAGGATTGAATAACCAGGAACCATGGTGAGTGACTCAAAGATTAGACATTTATTGTGCATTTATTTATGTATTTATTATTTCAGCAATGTATTGAGCTGGGCTACTGTATGAAAGGGAGATAATAATTACTTTAATAATTATATTTTTAGCTTGACTATTTGAAGAACATAACACATTAGAATACAATACCCAGACATTAGTTAAGTTTTTTTTATGCACATTTCATGCACATTGGTATCTCCAAAACTTCTTAAAGTAATAGGTTAAAACTTCACATGCTTTTTCGAGAGCATGATAGGAGGTCACTTTTCAAGGCCTATAACTGTCATTGATTTTTTTCACAGAATTATGACCCTTTTTTAATTTAGAAAGTTTTAAATTATCCAGACTCTTGTTTACTATCAAAACTGAGATTAGTAGAGCTTGCTGTCCTACCAACAGTTCTTATTTCTTTAGATTGTACAACATTCATTGAAGGCATAATTCTAATTGATATTACTAAATGTAGATTAATTATCAGAGCTTTTAGTAAAATGAATACTTGTATGGGCCTGTAAGTAAAAGGTCACAGGTTCTGTTCATTTAAAATAAGATAAATGTAATGAGAGATTTTGTGGTAGTTTAATAACAAATGGTATATGGTTCTTGCTCATGTTCAAGATACTGTTCAAATAAACTATTGCCTTTCTTCATCAGAAAAGTGAATTTTGAAACTTTGTGGTACATGTAGTTTACAAATGGTGTATGGTTCTTGCTCACGTATTGTTCAAGACACAATTGTCTTTCTCTCAAGTGAATTTTGAAACTCGTCACCAACATTTGTTACATCTAAGTTTGTCAAGTTTCTATGATTTATTTCAGATATCTTTTAATATATTTTCAGAAGATTTTAGTGCTTCTTCCAGTTATCTAAGATGATGAAACCTCGGCTGTTCATAAGCTGTATTATAATTATACTCTGAAGACGAGCAGGAATTTCTCTTAATTGGAGGTCGGGAGAAATCATCTTAAAACTGAGTTTTACATTTAAACTGCTATGATTTTAATTTCAATCATCAAAAACTGGGTTGAACCCAGATGTACATATGTTTTAAAAGTTTTTTTATTACCATTTCTTACTGTAAATAAGGTAGTTCATAAATAATGACTCTTCATTTCATTTTGCCTATTTTAGTTACGTTTTCTTCACTTTATTTCATTTTGCCTATTTTAGTTTTGTTTTATTGTATTTTATGTGCTTTTATATTATGTACATAAATTGTGGTAATGTTAATGAAAACCTTTACACTATCTGACCAAAAGTTGTGTAAATACTAGAAAGACTGACTTTTATAAAATGGGATTGTGCGGAATAAATGACAATTTAGAACATGCTAGACAGAATAGGAATTGGTGAAAAATGCAAGGTGTGATAGCAAATGGTGAAAATGCAAGGGGAAATTGCAAAAATGGTGAAAAATGCAAGGGGAAATAGCAAATGGTGAAAAATGCAAGGGGAATAGCAAATGGTGAAAATGCAAGGGGAATAGCAAATGGAAAATGCAAGGAAAAATAGCAAATGGTGAAAATGCAAGGAAGAATGATGTTAAAATGCAAGGGGAAATAGCAAATGGTGAAAATGCAAAGGGGAATAGCAAATGGTGAAAATGCAAGGAAGAATGACAGTTAAAATGCAGGCCAAAATAACAAATAAGGAAAACATGGAGATATTGAGGACTTAAAACTTGAGAAAAAATAATGTAAGAAAAGAAGGGAAATGTCAACTAAAGCCAAGGTGCAGTTCATGCCAAAAGAGACCTTTTATGGAAACCATTAATTGTTTTCCAAGAAAACCCAACCATCAATTAACTGAAATTAAAACAGTGTGAATCGAGAATGCAACTGAAATTGAGCAAATTCTTCAATTAAAAAAATAAACTAAATATAGAAAACAACATAATATATCCTAAGCCTAATGGATGACAAAAATCCAGGATTTATGTCAACAAAAATTGTCTTAAAAAATCAAAAACCTTTTAGGCCAGAGGAACTAACTAAACATGTTAAAAGCTTCTAGGTACCTCCTAATGGGTAAAACTATTTCTCAATTTTATATTAACAGCATTGCAAATACAGGAAGCAAATTGTCCTGGCATTAAAGTTTTAGAGTCAGTGGCTTTTACCTTGTATTAACTGGACACCTGAAGGGTTGTTGCTGTTACAACATTATTCTTGGCCATTTAGAAGGTTGCAGTTGTAGCATAGGAATTTAAGGCCATGTACATGCAAGGACAGCTGCAAATAGAGAAGTTGAAATGGAGGTGGCATAGTCTTTAAGTATAATACAGTTTTGGCAGATAAATATACATGTATATATGGATGTAGATAGTGTATGTTGAATTATACTTGTGAAGGCACTAATGTATAAAAATATACAAGAATAAAGATAGTGTATGTTGTATTATACTTGTAAAGGTACTAATGTATAAAATTATACAAAAATAAACTTTAAATAAAAAACATGTGGTTAGTTTTGTTGTTTTATAGGATAATTCTCATGAATAATGTCATATACTGGAAACAAAAGAAGGAAATATCCCTGTTTTTAAGTGGATGTATAGTGTTATTTGAAAAAAAAAATCAAAATGTCAGATGAGATACACATATTCGGGCGGACGATTTTGTGTCCGATAAAACAAATATTTGAACTTTATTTGCAGGGCGATTTTCATCTGCCTGCACGACCAGTAGTTTCGTGTATATTGTACGAAACCTTGCATTGTAATTTTATAGACTTAAATGTCAAAAAGAAAAAGACCTTGACATTTTTAGTTTTCTTCATTTTAGATATGCCTAGAATTTCTCAAAATTTATGCAAACGTATGATTGGCATGCTTAATGCTGGAATTACGATGTATCCCGTCTCGATGAATATTGAATGTTCTATTTGACACCTAGGCAACGTTTTCAAGCAACATGACGTACAAAATATGGACCACGTGTGCTATATTCGGAACACCCACCTGCGCAATCGCTTCCAAACTGCTACTGCCTCTGACACCGACTGCTGCGTACTTGAACGAGATTGTTCTTGTGCATGTTCTCCCTTAGTTTCAAATAATGTCAATATCACTCTTAAACATGATAAAGTCACAATCCATATAGCTAAAGATACTGCGAATTTCCTCAAGGCGAATAACATTGCATTAAATTTTATGAAAGACTGGCCTGCCAAAAGCCCTTATCAAAATCCTATTGAACACCTTTCGGATAATTTGGACCGGCGTGTTGGATGTAGCTGATCCGTCCTTCATACCCGATATTAATTTGGTGACCCCTTCCGCATTTTAACTACCATTTCACTAAACCATCAGCAATAAGTTTTTGGGGTTTTGTTTGTGGTTTTGTTTACAAAAATTGCAATAAAATACTCTTGCAATACAGTTTATAAATCTACTTTAATCCTGATTTTCATATTTGTCTATATATGCACTTAAATACAGGGAAAGTTTCTTTCCTTTTTTTGTTCAGTATATATTTGATTTTGTATCTTAGGAATTAATGTTATCTGGAACTGGGAGTTGGCTTTCCCCCCATGTAATACTGGTATATAAACAACTCTACCGTTATTGCTGCACGATGCACTACCGTTCATAACTTGTGGTCAAAGCGTTGCGCATACTGATAATTTGTTTGTACTTTGGGCGGGATTGTAGTTGGGGAAACCAACATAGTTCCGGAGTATGTCTAATCATTCATGATGTTGTTTTAAGCTTACAAAGTGTTGAGAATTGAGTTTTTGTGATCGTCATTTGTGGTCCGTTGTCGCTATCGCCTAAACACCTCTCGGTCATGACCGTACGATGATACATGAATTTCTCTAGTGTAATGAACAATCAATTTGATTAAAATCAGCTTTTAATTAAGACTACGCATTAGAATCTGACGGGGGCACCAATAGGAGGTCTCCTCTGACCTTTCTAACAGCCAATCATCGACGAGATTTCTGAATACCTAAACTGAGTTGGTAATTTTCGCGATTTCGATTACATACATGACGCTGTCCATATTCTAGTAGCCGGCTGGTAAACTGGCAAAATAATCTTGCCCATTAAAGATTGAGTCTACTTTATTCTTATGATAACTTGTAAGGAGTTCTTATGATAACTCTCACGGAGTTCCTGGCAAACGTTACGGATTTCGTCAGAAAACTTTATTGCATACTGGAAAAACATACGTAAATGGGGAGTTTGAGGTGCTAAATTAAACTTTGATGATTAATCTTGCTTTACATAAGAAAAAAACATGATAGTCCATTTTTCGTAGTCTCTTGTTTAAAGTCTGGTAGTTTTGAGTAAAATTTCCAAATTACTTGCTCATATTTGTATATAATTATTGACCTTTTCATTTGTGATCTTCTTCGTTGCCATACCTAATTATAAAGCAAAGTTGCAAACGTAAAGCCTAGGCTACCCGATTTTTTCAAATGTCACGGAGTTCTTTTGATAACTCTGAAGATGTCATAGCTAGAGTTCTTATGATAACTTGTTACTGCCAGTGTGTGTTTTAATAGCGTATTTTATTAGTTAATATGTGTGTAAAACACGAAGCGTAGTACGCTTATCATTTGCACAAAAATTTGGTTATATAATGTTGGTTTCAAGTGTATTTCAGTTCGAGAGATATTTTTCTTACCTCCGTTTCTTGTTGTTGTTTTTTTTTGTTGTTGTTGTTTTCTTCATTTTATAGAATTTTTTGCTTACGCAGATTTTGTAGACTGAAAAAAACTTGATGTAGAGCATTGACTTATAGGATAAAATACGCTTTGAATTCAATAACTCAAGCATGATGTCTTCATATATGCATTATTCCTACAGTTTTAGAGATCATTAAATAACTATGCTATCGTTCTGTCAAAACAAATTACATGTAAATGTAATGCAGCAAAATATGAAATAGTATACACAAATTTTGCCATAGAGACGTAGAAATTTCTATGACATCGATATGACATCTTTAATAATAGATGAGTCACCTTAAGATTAATGCCGTTAATCGACCTTGTTCCTTTCTTCATCAAATTCACTTTAGCATCATGTGACATACAGAAATTTCCATATTGCTGAAGATTATTTATCAAAGTTGGATTCCATATCTTTAGAATCAATCTACTCTAAACTGAATGAGCATGATTTGCTTTAAAGTACTTATCGTGATGTACAAAACACCATGTACGTTGTCATTTTTTTACAGTAAAAACTAAATTCCTCTGTCAATTCCTAGTTGTTGAAACTACTTTTGCTTTAATTGATAACAACTAGTCGAACATCTTTCGCTCGAACCCGTAGGACAATGAAGAGATCGGTAGTGAGAGCCAACCGCGTTTGAATTTTTTTCATGTATAAAAAGACTTTTCTGACACATTTTACAATTTGTAAGGCAAGCTTAATCATCAGAGTTTAATATAGCATTACAAACTCCCTTTTTAAAGATGAAAATCACTATTTTTCACAAGTGTTTCTTCGGTATTTAAAAAAGTTCCCGACAAAATCTTAACGTTTTCCAGGAACTCTGAGACAGTTATCATAAGAACTCCTGACAAGTTATCACAAGAACTCAATCCTTCTGTAACAGTTCATCACCCGTGAAATAGCTTTCTCCAGGAAATCCGAATCGCAATGAAGGCAAAACAAATGCGGTTTCACACAAGAAATAATTAAGAAAATCTGAACATTTATTTAGACTGATGCACCATTCAAGTAATGGAAGTCACGTTGCAAAATTACTTTCCGAAACTTCAATGCGCTTGAATATTTGACATATAGCATTACCTATATAGTGGACCTGAACTGAAGAATCATGACTTTTTGATCAACATTGTTGCGTTTGATTGTGGCTTCACTTTAACCAGTGATGGCAATTGCCTATGTTATATTACCAATCAGTCTATTTATAAATCGGAATAATTTTTTTCTTTAATCCTTGTATTACTGGCAACAGACTGTGTCTATGCGACCGATGCGTTATGTGATTTTTATTTTTGTAAGAACGGTAAGCATCATCTGTTTCGGGTGTACTTTTTCAGTCAGAAAAAATATATTTAAAAAATATATATATAATGAGCATTACTTGCACGAAATATATGAATTTTATTCAGTAAATATGAAATACAAAAATAATCAGACAAAACACAAATCAAAAGCCAAATGACTTGTAGCTGAAAAAATTCTGAATTAATTTGAATTAAAACAATGGCAATGTTATATTGACCAATACAGACTAAAACAAATAACGAAAATAACAACAACATAAATAACTTTTTGATTAACTTTTGACATAGAGAAAAATAACAACTGGAAAACTAGGGAAAAAACTAAAGCCTGTAGCACAGCTACTTCATTATATTCGGATATTCAGTCCGATTCTAATCTAGATATTGGCCCAATTACAAAATAACAATTTGGTCAGAAATTTGCTGATGCTTATAAAAAATAAAGCTTTATACAGCAGCATTGGTCCCTTCAAATCTTAATCTATATAAGGCTGATACATATAGGGTCAATATCGAGAATATGTTGTCCCAAATAGGACACTTTTACATTAATTATCATTCAAAATTTTCATTAAGGCACACCCATGGTTGAATGCTTAAATCATTTATTTATTGAATATTTATCCAGACAGCTATAAAATAAATAACGGACAATGTCATTTCAAAAAGTCACGTCTTTAAGACGCGTTCCTGGTAGAGCAGTCGTGTCGTCTTCAAATAACAACAATACGCGATTAATTAACATTTTTGCACCCTTTAATTAAATGTTTATTTGAAAAGCACCAGACATTCGTCGCCGCTGTTTTCTTTCTAGGATAATATACTGAAAAAGAGGACAAAATAAAGATAAGAAACTTAAACAGTAATATTACAAATAATATTTGTATTCTTGTTCTGGTTATTATTTTGAACTTCTAGTACGGAACTAATCAAATTAATGTACTACTACTGCACTAGTATTGGAAGTACCGTTTGAAAAACTGAAATCCGTCATAATGCTTGAAAGGGCATCTAAACATTTAAGTTGACTACTGGACAAAAGCTAATGGATCTATATACTTAAAATATTGCAACAAAATTTGTATGCAATAAATAATATAAGTACTTCAACAATTTTACCATCCGGTTTTGCCAGCTACTGGGTCCCTTTCAGCCAGCACTCGCAATATATATTGCCCACTGTGGTTTTCCGACAAACAAAATGGCACAATGAAATAACTTCCGGGGAAAAGATCAAATCGACTAGTTACCTCCCTTGAATCTTCACAAAGAGTTGCTTCCCCTACCATCGGTAATTTTGAAAGGGAGCGTTTCTCGTCTTTGGCTGGGTTTTTCGTCTGTATCAAAGAATAAAATTCATGTACTGTAAACTGTAATTCAAAAACAATTTATCTTGTTTCCAATAAATCTATAGCTTTTTTAAGTTTGCACGGCAAGCACATCTACTCTTAATTGTGCATGTACATATGCCATATTATTAATGTTTCCAAATATCTTTTGAAAGTTACCTTATTTTGTTTAGATTTTGGAACTCAGAATTATTCAATATTCGGTGATATGATAAGCGCGTCTGCCTATCAAACTATAAATCGCGAGTGGCATCGACCATTATTAGTCATGTGACAAGTTAGCTTATCTTCCAGATTTGATAATAATCAGTATAGAACATATAAGTAATAGAAAGAGCACGGAAACACGAAGCTATCTGATTTGTACGAGGGGGCGTAGCCCCCGAGTATAAATCAGATTGCCGAGTGTTTTGGTGTTCTTTCTCTTTTGTATCATAGTCAAACATAACAACACGTTCCCTGTTGCCAGGATATGAAATCCCAGAAAAAAGTAAGCAATGAACGAGCATCTGAATATGATATTTCTGCCGCTTTCCCTTTCTCTGTCGTCACAATAAGTAAACCCAAGCAAAAATGAGCCAATCAACGGGCATGATCTCGTGTGCGGGTAACTGATACCTGCACTCCAGTTAACGATCTGTGTATTTATATGTATACGATTTAACTCCGACACTTTTTCAACAGAAAGGTCCCCAAACTATGATACAATCAAACTTATACCACGGGATGCCAGGGTTAAAACTCTGCTTGCAAATTTTGTCGGCAAGGATGTGCTAATCGTGGTCGCCTATATGATCACGCTTGCAGGACTTATTATCACTTCACATACTCTAAAAATCACTTAAAACCGAACTAACTTGCCTTTAAAAACTGAAGGTAATGGATTCGAGACCTAAACTCAAAAAAAAATGGTATAATTATTACTATGAATAAAACAAACCTTATATATTGAAAACCCTATTGGAACTAACAGACTGTTTGCTGTTGGAGCACCATGACGATAATCTTGTAACAACGATATGATCAGGTGACTCTTTCCGTGGTAACCAGGGGCAACAATCTCATTTACTGCATCCGGGTGGAGAATATTGAAAGGAATTCTAGAATTTCTCGAATGTTGTTTAATCAAATCGGGATAACTTCCCATAGAATCACACTCTGGAAAAAAAACACGGTAATATCGGCAAATATCGTGTCAGGTGATAAAAATATCGTGACAGGTAATGAAAATATCGTGACGGGTAATAAAATATCGCGAGATAGTATGAATATCGTGACAGGTATTTTTTTGTGATGGGATAATATCGTGACAGGCAATCAAATATCGAGACTGAGTATGAAAATATCGTGAAAGAATATGAAAAGATCGTGAAAGGGAACGGAAATCTCTTGAAAGTTTTAAAAAGATCATAAATGTGAATAGTATGTGTCGTGAAAAGTAATATGAATAATACATAATGATATGAATGTCGTTAAAAACGTCAGGAAATTAATGGAAATATCTTTTTAAAAAGTGTAAGTTATACTTTAGATTTTTTCCATAAGCAAACTTAACAACTGCAATAACAGCCTAATTAATAATGGAAAGAAATCATGCACATTGCATCTAAGTGATCGACAATTTATTATTCATATTCATACTAGCGCCTGTGCACAATCTGAGGAGAAAAATCGTACAGCATTTTTGGGCCATTAGTGCCCGTATAAGCGATATTCAATCCATAAACAATTCAAATCTATGTTCCTGGGTGATAACACTCAGATTAAGTATCACCTGTCTTCTGCTGTATAGAATTATGGAAAATGTAGATCCCTTAAGAGGAATGAAAACAAACATGTAAATAAAAATCCTAACATATTGAATATTTATTGAAATCAACTATCAAAATTATAATTTAAAATTTACTTACTTTCCCACTTCCCCTTGTAGTTGATAACAAAACGCCATGAACCATGTGACCGGAAATTATCTGAAGACGAGGCTACGAAATTGTTTATAATCATATTTGGCAATGATCCTGAAGAAGTGTTCCGAATAATGTTGCTTGGCGCACTTTTTGGCCTTTGCAGTGAATTTTCTCGAGACGTACCTATATTTAATGTGATATCTGAAGCCGAAAACGTGCTTTGGCACTCGGATAGGGCTGAACAGGTTGATATAAGACTATCAGACCTCTTCTGACAATATTCTGCATTATGGGTATTATATCCGCTTGATGACTGTTTCTTCACAGGCGTCTTTTTATCATTAGTCGCAGTGGAAGTACACTGTTTTGAACTGTCCTTAGACTCGTCGTTCAAGTCTGAATCTTTTGTATCTACAGCGTCGCTTTTTACGTCATCATAATGATGTAATCGTTTAAAACAAGACACAGGAGATGGATCACGCTTTCTGTAAACAGCACCTGTACTTTCCCGTCTTGTTCCATAACTATTTTTCTTCGACATAATTTTAGCATTTTCACTTTTACTTTTTTGTTTCAGTTTCTTTATTTTAGATGCTCTATTAAATTGTGTGTTGTCTACTTTCACAGTACGCGGGTTCTCGCGCACGAGAATCTCCATTTCCGGTTGATTGTCGTTTGGCGAATGAATGTCGTCTGCTTGATCATTAAATGTTTTAATGGAAAGGCACGGATGTGAGCGTCTATGTATACTGAGATATGTCGCAGAAGGCTGGCGTCGATGCTTGCTATCACTGCTACGTCGACGTTCCTTAGGCTGAGTAAACAACGATCTCTGACCTGAAATGAATGAATGAATAATTGAATAAGATATAACTATGTAATAAGACGACCATAATGCCATAAACACTAGATTACTCACTTAAGATCCATTGCTATGAAAGGTGTCATCAATCTTAAATGCAGAAATCAGTTACGGGGTCACACAAACGTAAGTAGAAGTTCACTTAGCAATGTAACAAGTCCAAGATCTAATGTCATGTACTTTCGCGCTTTCGTTTTATGTGTTATCACATATAAGTCTATGTAGGATAGGTGACCGCATGGACTTCTGTTGAGGGCAACAGGGTACATGTATACTTTATAATGCAAAAATTCTAAGCTCTGTGCCTTGTAGTGTCTGAGGAAAATACTTTTTAAGTTACATCCCTATAAAACTGAGAAAAACGGAATCCTTAAAGAATGTCTAAAGGTAATGAAATATACGTGACTAAGGCAATGACTCATGTAACTTTTGAAGAGGCACACTCTACAGTCACGAGTGCAACATGCATATGTACTACATTTGTTAGCAATGCAAACGTGATACAATACTGTGCAAATGTGAACAGTACCTTATTAAGAAGTACAAAATGTGAACAGTTCATTTGTAAGCAGTAAAAAATGTGACCAGTGGTGCATTTGTTAGAGGTACAAAATGTGAACAGTTTGTTAGCAGTCTAAAGTGTATAAAACAGTTCATTTGTAAGCAGTATAAATTGTGAACAGTTCATTTGTAAGCAGTACAAAATGTGACCAGTTCATTTGTTAGCAGTACAAAAAATGAACAGTGCATTTGTAAGCAGTACAAAATGTGACCAGTTCATTTGTTAGCAGTACAAAATGTGACCAGTTCATTTGTAAGCAGTACAAAAAATGAACAGTTCATTTGTAAGCAGTACAAAATGTGACCAGTTCATTTGTTAGCAGTACAAAATGTGACCAGTTCATTTGTAAGCAGTACAAAATGTGAACAGTTCATTTGTAAGCAGTACAAAATGTGACCAGTTCATTTGTAGCAGTAAAAATGTGACCAGTTCATTTGTTAGCAGTACAAAATGTGACCAGTTCATTTGTTAGAAGTACAAAATGTGACCAGTTCATTTGTGAGCAGTACAAAATGTGACCAGTTCATTTGTTAGCAGTACAAAAAATGAACAGTGCATTTGTAAGCAGTACAAAATGTGACCAGTTCATTTGTAAGCAGTACAAAATGTGACCAGTTCATTTGTTAGCAGTACAAAAAATGAACAGTGCATTTGTTAGCAGTAAAAAATGTGACCAGTTCATTTGTTAGAAGTACAAAATGTGACCAGTTCATTTGTAAGCAGTACAAAATGTGACCAGTTCATTTGTTAGCAGTACAAAATGTGACCAGTTCATTTGTGAGCAGTACAAAATGTGACCAGTTCATTTGTTAGCAGTACAAAATGTGACCAGTTCATTTGTAAGCAGTACAAAATGTGACCAGTTCATTTGTAAGCAGTACAAAATGTGACCAGTTCATTTGTTAGCAGTACAAAATGTGACCAGTTCATTTGTTAGCAGTACAAAATGTGACCAGTTCATTTGTTAGAAGTACAAAATGTGACCAGTTCATTTGTGAGTAGTACAAAATGTGACCAGTTCATTTGTAAGCAGTACAAAATGTGACCAGTTCATTTGTTAGCAGTACAAAAAATGAACAGTGCATTTGTTAGCAGTAAAAATGTGACCAGTTCATTTGTTAGAAGTACAAAATGTGACCAGTTCATTTGTAAGCAGTACAAAATGTGACCAGTTCATTTGTAAGCAGTACAAAATGTGACCAGTTCATTTGTTAGCAGTACAAAATGTGACCAGTTCATTTGTTAGCAGTACAAAAAATGAACAGTGCATTTGTAAGCAGTCTAAAGTGTGAACAGTTCATTTGTAAGCAGTATAAATTGTGAACAGTTCATTTGTTAGCAGTACAAAATGTGACCAGTTCATTTGTTAGCAGTACAAAATGTGACCAGTTCATTTGTTAGCAGTACAAAATGTGAATAGTGTATTTGCTCGCAGCACTAAATGTGAACAGTGTATTTGAAAGCAGTTCAAAATGTGAACAATGTACATACATTAGAAGTGCCTACAGTGTAATTGCAAACTCTCTTTTTGAAGTGGTACTAATTAATATATATGGAAAGCCCATACTGTCAATATGTATTCAGTGAGAAGTACATGCATTATCAGATCATTTTTGACTCAAAATGATCTCATCTTAACCCTGCCCATTTTACATGATGACTTTTGCCAGCTTTTAATTTGCATAAGTTCAGTCAAAAGTTTAAAGGATTTCAATTTCAAAAGTACAAAACTTTGGCGAGCCTAGTCTGAATGCACGGATACAGGGTAGCCTGGCTCCTATATACTGATGGTACAGACTGGTCGCTCAGTTTCAGCTGTTAAGTCATTAAAATCTGCACGTAAATATTTTAAATAATAAACCTACCAGTTTTAATTTCATCTTCACTTAATCTTCGGTAGCATCTTTGTAAATTTAGACCTTCCGTTGTGTATGGAATTTCTGTACTGCAGATAATTAGCCCGCCAAAATTACACCGGAAGTCTTCAAGCGTCATCCAGTACTCGTTCTCATCTTTGTTCCCTAGAGGCTTGTATTTTGAGAAAAATTCCATGTTAACCGTTCCCCATGAAATTTCATCCCTGTAAAAGAAACCTTTTGTCATTAACTTTCAGTTTAATTATTTGTTGATGTTTTTTATATAAATATTACTTTCGCCGTTGATACTGTAGACTTATTTTCCCCATCTTGACTGCAGAAATAAATTAATCATAGGATTGAATTGTTGCCATAGAGATGGCAGATTCACAAAAAATTAAGACATAACTGCACTTCGATTATTTTCATAATAATCATGTTTCAATTCTATTGTAATAAGCCGAGCGGTTTCTTTGCAACTATCCTTATCCTCAGCAATTTTCAAATACTAATTAACTATGACATAGTCGTGATAAAATATCAACGATTTCAATTTATAAACATGTCTCTTTGTAAAGGTTTTAATCATACAGTTGTACATGTCACCAAAGAAATTATGTTTTCTCGTGTTTGTGTCTTTTTTAAAATTTATGAAATATGTGTGCACCCAATTCTGTATTTACAAGTATATAGTGAAGTATTTAAATTTTTTACGAAATGAAAAGAAATGAAACTATAAGAACGCACTGATACAATATGACGACGCCGATCTATGAAAAATATTCCGTCAACTAGGTCGCAGTACATGTATTAAAACGTCTTTCGGTTGAGGATTAAACAACGTATTTCCTGTCAATGTTAGATTTAATTGCATTGCATTTTTGTGAAAGAAAGTTATAAACATTGATGAAGTATTTTGTTGTGCTATATATGTCAATAATACGATAATTTAAGATTTAAACTTACGTGTCCGCGAATTTTCCGTTCCATAACGGTTCGTTTCTGTACAAACACAACAGACGGACCATTTCAACCATTCGTCCATCCGACAGAGGGAACTGAAAAATATTCAGTGGTACTTTGGTTACATTTTGTCTGCAAGTTTGTTTGTGCGTTTTCTGTGTGTCTTCGTCATATGTTTCCGTTCATAAGGAAGGTCTCAACTTCAAAATGTTTGACGCTTAAATCGGCGTAAATTCAGTAAATGTAAAATGCCTAATAACTTTGTATTTTTGTCAAAGTCAGTTATGAAATGAATACAACGTAATTTAATAATGATATAAGGCTTTATATATACGATCTGAATAAAGGTGACGATAACTTTAATATTACATAGTAAATAAATACATGCTTATATTTTCATAGCAAAATTAACATTTTCATCATGATTGGTCGGAAAGCATGAATGACTGCGGCAATAGAATGTCATTTTGACCAAACTGTTGATCGCATGCTAGCTAGCATTTACTGACTGATATTAAGAGGGGGTACGTGATATTAATCACTTTGTAAACAGTCAAAGATCGTTTAATTTTCAGGAGGTACTCAACTATTTTACTGTAATTTTTTTAAATTTTAACACCACAGCAAATTGCAGCAAAAAGGCAATCATCAAAAATATCTGATATTTTATATCTAAGTGAATTAATATTTCAAATAATAATAAATGAAACAAAGCTGTATTTTTTTTCCGTGCTGTCTGATCATGGTCTGCACTGCTCACTATTCAGACAATATATAATTTGAAATTTCCCTTAAAATTATAAATGGTTTTGTCGAAAATTGAATGATATACAAGTCCATTTAAATATTTAGCATGGTATGGTTAAGAATCAAAGACAATTACATGTATATTGGAGTCGCTCCAATTCAAAAATGTGGTGTGCGGAAAAACAAGAGCATTTCTTAGATAGAGCGGAAGGCCTATTTAAACGACTTATTGTAAGTTTTGTTTAAGTTTTTGTCTTGAAATTCATTTATGATAGATTGCCGGACGTGGTATTATAGTTACCGTACGAAGAACAGGTCTGCGTAATTTTTACAAAAAATAAATTATAGCGGCTTGAAAACTTTTTTTACTCTTAACTTAGTTTTGTAATACATTTTGTACATATGTGCCTTTTGAAATAATTGTCCTGTTTTGTCATTATATCAAAGTTGTTTAAATATTATATTTAATCTTAAATGTTACAGACGTTTCATCTTCAAACTTCAAACTTTTATTTCCATCATATGGTTACATCAAGTAAACAACATAAGCATCGTTTTATAATAATTACAGTGAATAATGGCGGCATATTAACAAGTGCTATGTAAATAGAGAATGACAAACATATCAAAATCATACATGTAACATTACAAATAAACATACATATAGCAAATGGATATATTTTTCAAGTTAACAAGCAATCCAGGCATATCAGCGTTACAAGTTTTTAGATATAATTTCGATAAAAATACTAAGTTTATTCAGTAAACTTTTATTTTCACTACTAAACAATTCTTCTAATTTGAAAAAATTGGGATTAACATAAAAATACCGTTTTAAATACTTTTTTTCTTTCCTCAAAAACTTTTGACATTTGAACAAATAATGAAATTCGTCACCTACATCATCATTACAAAAGGAACATTTTCTTGCAGAAGAAGGTATACCCTGCCATCTTCCTGTTTCCACAGGTAGCCTATGAATTTTAGTAAAACACGCATAATTGATAAGCTTCGTCTAGATGACAAAATCTTGATATAAGCACTTCTACCAAACTCAGTTTTAAAACCTTTGTAAATATTCGTATTTGATGTTAATTGTATATTAGAACGCCATTTCTGTATAAAATTATCTTTTAACTTTGAAATAAAAAAAAATGAAAGTCTTGTAATCTAGCCAATGGTAAACATCATTATTCAGCTGAATATTTTGCAACGTAAAATACCATTGGTTGTAAATGTAGGTTAAACGATTTTAATACAATGTCAATGGAAAAACGATTTATGGGTTAAACAAACGTAATCAATTGTACACTATGCTTGACAACAGTTAATTAATTTGACTTGAATAAAACGACAATATCTCACCAGATAACATAATAGTTCGGGAGCTGTTGACTATATCGTGAAGACAATATGGTAATTTTAGGTCATCTCAAAAAAGAGGTTATGTTGACCTGATATAAGTGGATCCCCCCACCCCAGTGCCCGTTCGAGCCTAAAGGCTTATTTCACCAGTAAAACTGCAAACATGCCATTTAATCTTTAATCTGTTAATCCCCAAGCAATATTACAAATTGTAACTGAAAGGTATGACGAAGGCAAGACAAAAACGTATTCAATATATTGGCAATAATGTCTTTTCATTTATATTAGAACTGCATTCATTAAAGTTATTCATGACATAACTTTCTCTGACAACAGGTTGAAAATAAAATGTCAAATGTGTTATCAATTACGGACATATTCACGTTTAATGGATTTTTAAAAAAAATGTAGTCTTCAAATATATATTCTCATTATTGACGCGTTATTTTGAAATTTTCGGCACGCGCTTTAATTCTCAAGCGTGACAATAAATTCAGATATCTAGAATTCTGAGAGATAACAAGATCTATTTAAAGACTGTCTGAGAGTAGACAATATATTCAAGTCGCGTTATAAACGGACTTTACAGTCGTCCTAATTATAAAATTCTCTTTAAGCTAACTGGTGTCGGAAAACGTTTTAGCAATTCTGCCACAACTCCATCTTGACCTGTGCTAAGATGCCATCAACATGCAAGCCAAACGGGGTGGCATCGTGATACCGGTGTCGCGTAATAATCACACGCGTGGTAATATTACCACTCGTGTGATAATTACGCGACACCGGCATTCTGAGTTTCATTGTATAGAAGAACATCGGAACAAAGAAACAATTGCAATTGAGAGAAAAACAACAGATTAATTGATAAATAATCTAACAATACGAACAAAGACGAAATACATTGGATTTAATGGATATTTTAATCGCTTTAGAATGCTTCTGCTTAAAGTTAATTCATTTCAAGTTAGGTCATTTTTGAACCAGTTATGTAATATCAAAATTAAAGAGAATAACGCAATTCTGAGAAGAATTGATAAAAACCTCGCCGTATGATAAAATTTACTTGATTGAACCTTTTTAGTATTGTGTAAAAAATAAAACCTCAGAATATGGGTGAGAATGAAATTTATGATATAATTAAGTTTACTTATTATGACAATACAAACCAGATACAAATGAGAACTGTCAAGAAAAAGGACATACTTTTCAAATAAATGTCATTAGAATAACATAATATGGCGATATTTAAATGTCATTTGGTCATTCATAAAGTTCAAGTATTTTCCCTATGCGAATATCAATTAAAGGATTTAATTAAAGTGAAAGCATGCAAATATCAAACTAATTGAATCTAATTAGGACGTACACAAAATGTTTATCTGGTAATGCGCATAACGTGATACATACAGAAGTAGATTAGTTTTAAGAGCTTGCTGAAATTTTCATGGAATCCCTTAAAATATCTAATCTTAATAAGTACATTTACATAACGAAAATAATAGGCCTATAGTCAGTTACACATACATTTTTTGTGGTACAGATGGGGACTCTTATAAAAGGGGAGGTAACTTTAAATATGTTATACCCTCTGAAGAAAATGGACAAAGATCTGTGGGTTGTGATGACATTTAAGATAAATATTTTATACATTCATGTCAGTTTTGTTAGAAAAAATACTAACAAAACTGCTTAATATTTGCTTCTCGGTAGCACAGGCAGTCGGTGCGTGGCTTGGATAGTATACATGTACATGACCACGCCCACTCATTTTTATAAATAAAGCATTTTTTCACAAATAAAATATTTTTTCATTCAAATGTTTTTAAATCATCTTATTTTCAATAAAATAACGAAGGAAAGTTGTTTTTAAAAATTCCATCCATATATACTATAAATTTAGTAAAGGTAGAAAGGTTCGCCAGCGGAATGACCACCTCGCCTTATTTTACTTCTCAGATCTTTGTTAATTGTCAACCAATTTTCACCGAATAAAGTGAAATCTACGCAGAAATAATTTCTCTTTCGAATAATGTAAATATTAGACCAGTTGGTACGACAAAATATTGAATTTTAAATGCGAAAATGCACTTTTTGTCTAGGTCAGACACCGCTAAGTCGTAACAAGACGATTTTGAAAATAAATCGATCTTTTTCTTAATAACAAACTAATATCAGACGCAAACCGTTGAAACAGAAAAGGCAGCTATAATACTATCGCGTACCGGTCCAAATTTAATCCAAAATGTCTGTAGGTAGGCACTTCTTAAATTTCCAGACATTACATGTATACAAATCCTGATCCGGATATTCAAAGTACGCATGCCCGGTATCCCGCTGTTACCCAGCTTCGCTCAATCTTTACTATGCGAAACGGAGTACGCATCAGGTATATCAGGGTCAGGATTTGTATACATGTAAGATTCAGATAAGATTTGTATATTCCTATATAAGTCTATGTTAACTAAGGGCCCGATGGCGTGGTCCATTCTAACCATGAAAGAATGCTTTATTTACCATTTAAAGAGGACCAAAACGGTACGTTAATTGTCAAATTCTTATCAAAGCTCTGGACATTGTGGTTGCTAAGGAGAAGATTTTTAAAATATTTTATAAGAATTGATTTTTTAAGTAAAGTCTTAGCTCCTTTAGCCTTTTCATGCATCAGTTTGCATACATTTATACAATTTTCGTGGAGGACCACATGACGCTCATTCTTTGGTAAGATTGAGTCTGTTCATAAGAAATAATCTAAATGTGCAACATCTCTCACGCCCCCCCCCCCCCCCCAGCACCGGCTCTAGCGAAATTAATCTTCAACACTAAGACCAAATTTGAAAATCTCTGAATATCTAGATATTCAAGAGGGTTTATTTAATGAACAATTCACTTAGACGCCACGTCTATCTCGTGCATACGAAAAGTATAGGTGCAGCGACTAAGTTCATTAGTTTATCTGTTTTAATCAAGTATTTTATTCCTTGTA